TGGGCAGAATTCGAATATAAATTTGGGCGAAATTAGAGTATAAATTTTGGCAGAATTAGGGCTTAATTTGGGCAGAAGTAGAATATAAATTTGGGCAAAATTAAAGTATAAATTTTGGCAGAATTTGAATATAAATTTGGGTATAAATTTTGGCGGAATTAGAGTTTAATTTGGGCAGAAATCGAATATAACATTAATTAAAATTTAATTTTAATTTCAATAATACATCAATTACATATTGATTTTACGATTATTTAAGAAATGGGCGTCGCAGTTTAATCAACTTAAATCAACAAAAACAAGAGTTGAAGAGAGAATACTAAAAATGTTGTATGAACTTAGAGGAGCATATCTATCATTACTCGTAACGTTAGCAAATGAATACAAACGAAACATGAGAAGACTTCCAACCTATAAAACCCTGCACGGTTTTGTCAAAGAAAAAATAAAAATATTTTTAAATATTGAAGAAAGACAGGAGCAAAGATTTTGGGTAGAAACGTGGCGACTTATAGAATTACTCAACTTAACACATTAAAATCTTGGATAAATTCATTGTTAATCGATTAGAAAGCAAAAACAGAAGATTAGAAAAGAAGAACTGTCCTTAATTCTAAATTAATACTTATAAGACATAACATTATGTTTTAATATTAACCTCTCATTAAGCCTATAAGCTTACATTTTATTGTTTCGTGTCATCAACTTATTTTACTAGCAATGCTGTCTTTAGGATTATAAATAAATTATTAATAAAATAAATTGGCAAAGTAAGCCTTTTGAAAATAAATTACCAAGCTTTAATAGATTTATAAATTATATTTATGCTTATTGGCTAAATTGAAATGTCTAAATATATCTCTTATCTAACTTTTGAATTACCACACCAAATTCCATAAATATAGCTAAGAACGAGAGTTTTAGGGCAGCATCAAGAACTATTTGATGGCCATCAAGATATACTGGCAGACCAAAAATTTTTTCCATAGGATTCCAGAGCCAAAACGCTAGCCTCAGCTAGAGCGGCAAAGTCATTTTCAGTAAAAAAGTCCAAGGGAGAATTTAAGATTTCATCCAAAATGGTATTATTATCATAAGATTTATCACATCCTGGACTTTCAGGTAACATCAGGTCTCTACTGGTGACTGTACGTGTTGGTGTTGGCGAACGACAATTTTGTTCTTGACTCAATGTATGTTTTAATATATCACATCGCCTTTCCAAAGTAGAAAGACATTCTTTAGCTTGCTTTTGTGTCATCTTTCCAATCAATGTCTCGAACCTAGAATCATCAAAATCAAATCTTGGCAGTGTAATAAATCTATGTGTATAAGTTTGTTAAGCAGGCATTATGATAGGTGAAGTATGTGTCATCTTTCCAATCAATGTCTCGAACCTAGAATCATCAAAATCAAATCTTGGCGGTATAATGAATCTATGTGTATAAGTTTGTTGAGCAGGCATTTTGATAGGTGAAGTATGTGTTATTTTTCTAATCAATGTCTCGAACCTAGAATCATCAAAATCAAATCTTGGCAGTGTAATGAATCTATGTGTATAAGTTTGTTGAGCAGGCATTATGATAGGTGAAGTAGTAGGCTGTGATTGTTGATGAAAATTTTGGCGCTGTGTTTCTTGCTGATTAAAGAGTAGGAACAGAAAATTGAGATTATTTTCTGTAGGTAACTGCACTTGTGTATATTCTTGTGAATTATATGATTCTTGTTGTTTATTGGAATGTACGAACAGAAAATTGACATCTTCGAACGTATTAATTTGTTTTTTCTTTGGCTTTAGCCCACGTTTTTTAAATAATGTAGTAAATATACATTTTTTATGTTGTTTTGAGCAATTTTCGCAATCATAATTAGATATCAGGACACATTTTCTGCGTTTCTTTCGGCAACGATCACATGCTATTGAAACATGTTGCTTTCATAGAGACATAATGTTGATTGCTTCTTTCAAAAAATGAATAAGACAAAAGTTATTTGAGAATTTAAATTAAAATTACTGCCGAAAGTAATGTTCTAAATTTGAAAAACAATTTATATAGCCTAAATATTTATTCATCACAGTATTATACATCATATGCACATATAAATAGTATTTCAAGAAACAGTTAAATCACTTTGGATACTGTCGCACATGTCAGAATTTTATTACTATAAATTCGTAGAGGAATAATGCCTAAAATTGATTTATTAATATTGCTTCACATAATTCGCCCAGCAAATATCCTTGTTGAATCTAGTCTTACTTCAAAATATTTAGCCAGAACTGAAAATATTAAATATGATCGATTTCTCAAAGATCTTTTAAATAGTGATAATGCTTGCCATAAGACTCCCGAATTCAACGAGATTTATTGCAAAAAGTTAAAATGTTAGATTTATAAACATGTGACTCTATAGACCTATAGGTCGGTGAAATCATGTGATATTGGAGCTTTGTAACAAATTTTAATGATTTGAATATTTGTATTAACAATATAAAATAACTTGATGTTATCAATTTTTAGTGAAATATTGGATGGATCGATTTGGTTAACAACTGCTTTTTTCTTATTTTCTGAAAATTTAGTAAAATAAAAATAAGTCGATTTATCTAAAAGCTTTAATTAACATTGATAATAAGCTTACAATATTCTACGATCTAATTGATTGAAGTTTATATTGGCGAATGCTGCAATATAATAACTAGAGAATGGAATGGGTTTTAATTTTTAATTTGTTCGTATCTCCGGTTATAAAATGATACAACACAATAGTAAATTGCTATTGTTCGATATTACTTGTTAATTTTTAATAGAAAAGAAATTGATTCATTTGGATCACAATTAATAAAGCTTTTGATCGACTTTCGATAATTTTATCCACATGTAAAGTACAGTATAATATAGAATACCTAATTTTTTACTATTTCATATAACAAACAAAAAAATAAAGTCTGAAGAGTTCTTATCAACTATTGAGTAATTACGTCCAGAGTTGAATTAATCATTTTTAATTGAATTTAAGGCATTTGAATTACAGAATTGGATTTGCTAAATAGTCACAAAATACCCGATTGAGTATAGTTTAGCAGAAACCTTAAATTTTGCTAAATATGTTTGCCATATAGCTATTATATAATTCGATTTAATTAACGGTATTGAAATTTACGAAATTGTAATGTAACTTACATTAATAGTGTGGATTTTAATAGCTTACCTGACAATGTAACT